TGAATGTAATACTGTTTCTTTCAGGCTGCATTACCTTGGGCCAGAGCTCCAGCTGCTGTACTGAACTTCAACTGCATGCTGATACTGTTGCCAGTGTGTCGAAACCTGCTGTCTCTGCTCCGCGGCTCCTTTATAGTGAGTTGCTGCACACTTGCACCTTTGTGTCTGAGAGAGTATGTGTGAACCTTTGTATATATTTGCTCTCCTGTCCATGTTTCAGTGCTGTGGCCGAACAATGAGGAAACAGCTGGACAAAAATCTGACTTTCCACAAGCTGGTTGCTTACATGATTGCCCTGATGACAGGTAAACATGTTTTTTGTAAAATTAACAGGAAGTTGTTGAGCATATCAAAGTAGGTTAGGCTTACACCTGATGATACAGTATGTTTTACAGGAAAGGGCTCACATGTGCGATAGGATAGCTATTGTGGACATTGTGATGCAATAGGATACTTAAGCAAACTTACTCATTCACTGTTTGAGCTGTAGGTGAAGTATGTTGTTATCTCTGATAACCCTAGTATTGCAGTTACTGTTATTCTTCTTGGGCAAATCTGGATAACCATTGACCAAGTTTTGATTTTGTAAGAACCAGAAAGCATAATTCTAATAGAAAAAGCTAAAAAAAAAGAATGGGTTAGAGCAAGAGACTTCAACATGAAGGTACTCCAGGGCATCTGCATGAATATATCAATCATACAGCACTTAAATTGTCTGACTAATGATTTGCTAAACATTCCTGGATTGACCCCCGAGTTATAGAATATATCTGCAAGTAAACAATAATTAGAATTGTTGTAAATTGTAAGTGTTCTTACATATTTTTTGTCGACGTGATAACTGATTTTGACCATATGAACCCTTTTTTTTAATGCAGCGGTTCACACTGTCGCTCATTTGCTTAATGTGGAGTGGTACACAAACAGTTTTCAAGGTCGATATGGGCCTCTCGCTGAAAATCTGTCCATGCTTGATGACTCCCGTGAATTAAATACCACTTACCTAAATCCCATTCGCTCCAATTCTACAGTGAGTCACTGAACTTTTAATGTTTTTTGTTTTCACATTTTCCTATCATTTTGATTTTATATACACTACCATTCCAACGCTTGGGATCAGTGAGTGTTGTTACATTAAATTAATACTTTCATTCTGCAAAGTTTTATTAAATTGATCAAAAGAGACATTGTTACAAAAGATTTGTATTTCAGATAAATGCTGTTCTTTTGAACCTTCTATTCTTCAAAGAATCCTGTAAACAGTATTGTGTTTCTACAAAAAATATTAAGCAGTTAAAACCATTTTCAACTGTAATAAATCAGCATATTAGAATGATTTCTGAAGGATCGTGTGACACTGAAGACTGGAGTAAATTCAGCTTTGCATCACAGGAATAAATTACTTTTTCTAATATATTAAAATAGAAAGCATTTTTATTGAAATATTTCACAGAATTTTTGATTAAACAAATGCTGCCTTGGCTAGCATAAAAAAATCTTGAATGGTAGTTTACAGTTGAGCGCCATACTGTATTGCTTATGTGGTATGATATGCCTGCTATAATCTTGATTCCTTGTACTCCAGACTCCAACGCTTTTCGTATTCACCACTATTGCGGGTCTCACAGGAGTCGTCATAACTCTTGCCCTCATCCTCATGATCACTTCATCAATGGAAGTCATTCGCAGAAGCTATTTTGAGGTCTTTTGGTACACGCATCACCTTTTCATCATTTTCTTTGCTGGCTTAGTTTTCCATGGTGCAGGGTAAGATCTATTAACTGGGTGAGCCCAATTTTAATAAACTGATTTGTAGTAGATTATTAATTAAGAGTAATGAAAACCTGCTTTTTGGTTTCTGTCCAGACGCATTGTGCGAAGTCAGCAAGTGACCGATCCACCTCACAATAATTCCTTCTGCGAAGATCAGCCAGAGAACTGGGGGAAAATTCCTGAATGTCCAATTCCAGAGTTTGCAGGAGGGTTTCCTCAGGTAAAAGTTGTCACATTTACCATTACACAAGCCTATGATAGATTTATTTGAGTGCTTACTGATTTCAATTGGCTGAATCCTCTGTTGCAGACATGGATGTGGGTAATTGGACCAATGATAATTTATCTATGTGAGCGGCTGCTTCGTTTCATTCGCTACATGCAGCCTGTCAGTTATAGGAAGGTGAGTCTTCATGGACTATATTGTTAATCTGAACCCCAGTACAGTTGTTCTGTAATGACAAACTGTTTCCATTCTTGCATTTTAGATTGTAATCCGCCCATCCAAGGTGTTGGAACTACAGCTGGTGAAGCCTGGATTCAAGATGCAAGTTGGTCAGTATGTGTTCCTCAATTGTCCAGCCATCTCTCAGCTTGAGTGGCATCCATTTACCATGACATCAGCCCCGGAAGAGGACTTCTTTAGTGTACACATCCGCTCAGTCGGAGACTGGACTGAAAAGCTCATCAAGATGGTCGAAAACCTACCAGAGGGTGGTCAAGGGCCCAAGTATGTACTTTTTGACATTTTACTTATTCTCTAAAAACAAAGGTTCCAAAAGGAGGTTTTCACAGAAGAACTATTGGGGTTTCCAAAGAACCTTTCAGTGAAATGCAGGTTCTTCATTGACATTTATGGTTCCATAAAAAACCTTTAACATCCATGGAATCTTTCCATTCACAAAAGCCTCTTTATTATTGAAATGATCTTCACACCTTTTAAAAACTAACCGTTTACTTAAAAGTTCTTTGGGAACCCAAAATGTTTCTTTTATGGCATTGCTGGATTTTTTTTCTTAGTATAAGGAACATTTTAATTAATTAAATCACCTTTTCCACTATAAAGAGTATTTTGTCCTATGGAAAGCTTTTGTGGAATTTAAAGGTTCATAGTGGAACCATAGATGCCAATAAAGAACCTTTATTTTTTGAAGTGTAGGCCATTAAATATTAATGTGTTCTTCAGGCTGCAGTTCTTAATTTCAATTTATGGAAAATATATTTCAAAATATGGAAAATTACACACAGGAGTGGTATATCATGAAAATATTTTTCTTTTGCTTCAGGATGGCTGTGGATGGCCCTTTTGGAACTGCGAGTGAGGATGTATTTGATTATGAGGTCAGCATGTTGGTGGGTGCTGGAATTGGAGTGACCCCATTTGCCTCTATCCTGAAGTCCATCTGGTACAAGTTTAAAGACTCGGACCCCAAACTACGGACAAATAGGGTAAGATCATGTTGGACAAAAATAAGTAAGTTAGGTGCAACGGTCAAGCACAATCACTTTTGTTGTGAAAACCAAAAACGGCCACTTTACTGTGATATTACAAAGGTTGCCCATCATGTCCTAGATAAAGTCCAGGATTCCTTGGAACTCCGTTTCCTATTAATTTCTGACTTTTGTGTTTAGATTTACTTCTACTGGCTGTGTAGAGAGACATACGCCTTCGAGTGGTTTGCAGATCTCCTACAGGTCCTTGAGAAAGAAACGGAGGAACGAGGAATGAGGGACTTCCTCACGTATAAACTCTACCTCACCGGATGGGACCAGAGTCATGTACGTGCAATAAGCCCACTGTGATCTGAAAAGCAGGTTGACCTATTCTGAAATATGAGTAATGCATTAATCACAGAACATCTAATATTGCATTTACAGGTAAACCATGCAATGGTGCATTTCGATAAAGATACAGATATCATCACCGGTCTAAAACAAAAGACTCATTATGGCCGACCGAACTGGGATAAAGAATTTGAACAAGTTAAGCAAGAGAACCCGTCGTAAGTTTCAAAAACTTTTCATGATGTTATCGATTCCCACATTTGACACTCAAAATTAGCCCAACACTAAACTTTAAATATGCACAGGTCTGTGGTTGGAACTTTCTTGTGTGGCCCACAAGCCTTAGCGAAGGACTTGGAGAAGAAATGTGTGAAATACTCTGACGTGGATCCACGGAAAACCAAGTTTTACTTCAACAAAGAAAACTTCTGAGGACATTTTTCACAGGAAACCTAATTCTCTTGAAAGATCTGTGCACTACAGCAGTATCATGATTTGCCATTTCTAAAATCGTTCCATCTAAATTATTCTGCATTACTTGTGACAATGAGAAAAATGACACCCTTCTTCCTGGAAAGTGAACAAATTGATGAAAGTGACTAATTCCTTGTCTGCGTCAAAAGTCCGCTCATTGTATTTTTTTTTGGCTTTCCAAGTTCCTGGTTAGAAATGAATCACCAAGAATTAAGGAAATCAGACACACACCAGAATGTATTGTGTTTTTATAAGTGCCTCCTTATGTAAATAAGTGCACAGCTCTAAAATTAGCATGGCAAGAAGTTTTACCTCCTTGTAAAAGATGAAAAAGGAAAAGATCTTTAAAACACATTATCTGATCTAACATGTCACAGTCACTGGTTTTGTAACCTTTAAACAATCAAACCAACTTTAGATATAAATTGTTAATACTGTACATTATATATCATGTCTTTTCTAAACTGTATTTATAAAAATTATGAAGGCAGGAATTCATTTCTGCATTGAAAAAATTTCCAGTTGTTTATTTCAAAACCCAGTTGTTTATTTTTTTCATGAGCAGTAAATTGTGAACTTCTACTATTCGTATACAACTGATCTCACTTGAAATAAGAAAATACCACTATAAAACAAAAACAACAAAGTTAAAGATGTGGATGTTCTGCAGACCAATACAAAAGCAGCCAGGGGATAGTTGTCTGATCGGATGCGTATGTTCCTGCAATAAAGTTGTAGAGTCAGATTTTCAGACTTGCACTAACCCAAATGAATCCCGGTTACTTGAGAAATCCCATGTTCCGCTTTGTCACAGAGCCTGTAATTATCATAAAAGACTGTTTTAGGATGGATGCAAAGGAAAGAAAAGAACTCACGTCACATGTTAAGTCTTCAGGGTGCGCCTGCTGTCTTCTGAATCTGCTCCTTCAGTATCAGGATACTCTGTCTCTGTTCTGGTGGCAGCATCGCGATCTGTTCTGGGGTCAGCTGCAGAACCTGCATAATCAAGGCAGCCTGGGAATGTGGAAACACAGCATATAGATTATCATCTATGAGACAGAAGCAATGTTGCATCATGAAAGATTCAAATGGAAGCTCGATAACACGGTCTACATTTAAATCAACATGTCAACAAGTTATCTAGTAATTCTGGAAAATCTGGTCACTGAAACACAGAATGCAGCGATGCAGATCTAAAATGTCCTTTAACAATATATATATATAGTTACAATAACTTTTTAGCAAACTTTTAGAAATGTAATGTAATGATAAATAGCTGTCATTGGAAGTTTTAGTTTCAGTGAAAACATAAGGATGACCCTGTCATCCAAAAGTGTGTAGGGAAAAAATACACTCACTTTCTCGTGGTCTTGTGATGACGCATCTGATGTAGGACCCTGTTAAAAGACAAATGGGATTAAAAGGTGCAGACATTTAAATTAGATACTGCAAGTTACATAGTGCTCTCTGACATAGGGCTGTTTAAATGTGGCTGCAAGAGGGGGTCCGTGGAAAATTAAGAGAAAAAAAAAACGAGATTTGTTTTTACTGAAATATGAACAAATATGCATATAGTTTGGGAAAAAAGTTGTATTTATTACTCGTTCTTTTCAGACCAAACTGTTCAAAAGTATACATTTATTCAGCAGACAAAAATTGATCGAAAGTAACAAAGACATTGACACCGTTACAAAAGAAATGATCAAAATAATTAAAATTAATTAATAAAAATGAATCAAAGAATTCTAAAAAAAAGTTGAAATTTTAAGCAGCACAAATTTTCCCTAATAATGATTGTTTTTATTGATAATTTATTATTATTTTTTTTTAAATTGCCAGTCTTGATCTTTATTATTTGTAAAACATTTTCTGTAAAGCTGCTTCAGAATAATGTCAAAAGTCCCTTACAAATAAATCTGAATTGAATAGAAAATGTTCTCTAATATTATAATAGTGCACTAAAGACAAAATAAATAAAAAGGCTAATAATTTAAAATCGCCAAACTTGCTTTCAAATTTAGTATTTTTCAAACATAGGTTCTGTTGACTTGAAAATAGATGGTTGCCTTTATAATTATATTTCAGAAATGGGAATTTTGGTTTGAACAGCCAAAAAGGCAAAATGACAGGAGTCTGGAAATCTTACTGGTCTCGCTGCTGGAGGTGCACTTTGTCCTATGCCATGAGGGGGAGGACCCTGCATTCCACCAGCCACAGGCACCCTCTGGCCAGATATCGGACCCCGAGCATCAATAGCTCTTGGATCACGACCTTGAGGAAGAAAAATGTTTTAAATCTTATATGTAAAAGAATCCTTCAAACAGAGTGTTACTTCAGAAAGGAGTAAAACCAGTATTGGACCCTTTTCACATTTCCGGGTTTCTCAGACGTCATTGTAGTCAAACAATGTCAAAACTTCAAACTTCTATTGCGGTGAATTGGAGGCTACTTTTTGAAAAATGATATAATTATATTTCAGAAATGGGAATTTTTTGAACAGCCAAAAAGGCAAAATGACAGGAGTCTGGAAATCTTACTGGTCTCGCTGCTGGAGGTGCACTTTGTCCTATGCCGTGAGGGGGAGGACCCTGCATTCCACCAGCCACAGGCACCCTCTGGCCAGATATCGGACCCCGAGCATCAACAGCTCTTGGATCACGACCTTGAGGAAGAAAAATGTTTTAAATCTTATATGTAAAAGAATCCTTCAAACAGAGTGTTACTTCAGAAAGGAGTAAAACCAGTATTGGACCCTTTTCACATTTCCGGGTTTCTCAGACGTCATTGTAGTCAAACAATGTCAAAACTTCAAACTTCTATTGCGGTGAATTGGAGGCTACTTTTTGAAAAATGATGTCATTGGAAGTTTTAGTTTCAGTGAAAACATAAGGATGACCCTGTCATCCAAAAGTGTGTAGGGAAAAAATACACTCACTTTCTCGTGGTCTTGTGATGACGCATCTGATGTAGGACCCTGTTAAAAGACAAATGGGATTAAAAGGTGCAGACATTTAAATTAGATACTGCAAGTTACATAGTGCTCTCTGACATAGGGCTGTTTAAATGTGGCTGCAAGAGGGGGTCCGTGGAAAATTAAGAGAAAAAAAAAACGAGATTTGTTTTTACTGAAATATGAACAAATATGCATATAGTTTGGGAAAAAAGTTGTATTTATTACTCGTTCTTTTCAGACCAAACTGTTCAAAAGTATACATTTATTCAGCAGACAAAAATTGATCGAAAGTAACAAAGACATTGACACCGTTACAAAAGAAATGATCAAAATAATTAAAATTAATTAATAAAAATGAATCAAAGAATTCTAAAAAAAAGTTGAAATTTTAAGCAGCACAAATTTTCCCTAATAATGATTGTTTTTATTGATAATTTATTATTATTTTTTTTTAAATTGCCAGTCTTGATCTTTATTATTTGTAAAACATTTTCTGTAAAGCTGCTTCAGAATAATGTCAAAAGTCCCTTACAAATAAATCTGAATTGAATAGAAAATGTTCTCTAATATTATAATAGTGCACTAAAGACAAAATAAATAAAAAGGCTAATAATTTAAAATCGCCAAACTTGCTTTCAAATTTAGTATTTTTCAAACATAGGTTCTGTTGACTTGAAAATAGATGGTTGCCTTTATAATTATATTTCAGAAATGGGAATTTTGGTTTGAACAGCCAAAAAGGCAAAATGACAGGAGTCTGGAAATCTTACTGGTCTCGCTGCTGGAGGTGCACTTTGTCCTATGCCGTGAGGGGGAGGACCCTGCATTCCACCAGCCACAGGCACCCTCTGGCCAGATATCGGACCCCGAGCATCAACAGCTCTTGGATCACGACCTTGAGGAAGAAAAATGTTTTAAATCTTATATGTAAAAGAATCCTTCAAACAGAGTGTTACTTCAGAAAGGAGTAAAACCAGTATTGGACCCTTTTCACATTTCCGGGTTTCTCAGACGTCATTGTAGTCAAACAATGTCAAAACTTCAAACTTCTATTGCGGTGAATTGGAGGCTACTTTTTGAAAAATGAAAATAGAAAAGAAAAAAGAAAAAAAAAAAGTGTTGCAGGATTTGATTCAATTGACACTGAGACGCATCATCAGTCTGTGAAAAGGGTCCATACAGGTCTCCAAGCCAAATCAACAAATAAAGTGAAACCACATCTTTAACTACCTCTTGCCTCCATGGGTGGACCACGCTGCTCCATCATAGGACCTCTAGGTTCTCCCATCATGGATCCTCCTCTCATGTCATGAGGGCCACGCATGTCTGGGGGTGCCATATGCATGGGTGGCCCCTGATGTTGTGGAGGGCCTCCGATGTAACCATGCCTGTAAGTGAACAACAGCAAAAAAAAGCTTTTGTTATGAATTAAAAAAAAGAAACAAATCAATGGTGATCAATATCAATGGTGATGTACAATACCGTTCAAAAGTTTGGGCTCAGTAAGAATTTTTTTTCCCCTTTTGGTAACAAATTAACACTTTCATTCAGCAAGGATGAAATAAATTGATTAAAATTTGATTGACAGTAAAACATTTATAATGTTACAAAAGATTTCTATTTCAAATAAATACGGTACAATTTGTTAATCAAATAATCCTAAAAATAATATGCATCATAATTTCTATCATAGGACCTCTAGGTTCTCCCATCATGGATCCTCCTCTCATGTCATGAGGGCCACGCATGTCTGGGGGTGCCATATGCATGGGTGGCCCCTGATGTTGTGGAGGGCCTCCGATGTAACCATGCCTGTAAGTGAACAACAACAACAGCAAAAAAAGCTTTTGTTGTGAACTAAAAAAAAAGAAACAAATCAATGGTGATCAATATCAATGGTGATGTACAATACCGTTCAAAAGTTTGGGCTCAGTAAGAATTTTTTTTCCCCTTTTGGTAACAAATTAACACTTTCATTCAGCAAGGATGAAATAAATTGATTAAAATTTGATTGACAGTAAAACATTTATAATGTTACAAAAGATTTCTATTTCAAATAAATACGGTACAATTTGTTAATCAAATAATCCTAAAAATAATATGCATCATAATTTCCTCAAAATTATTTAAGCAGAACAACTATTTTCAACATTGAGAATAATAAATGTTTCTTGAGCACTAAATCATCATATTAGAATGATTTATGAAGGATTATGTGACCATGAAGGCTGTTAGTAATGGCTGCTGAAAACACAGTGTTGCCTTCACAGGAATAAATTACATTTTAAAATGTTAAAATATAATTATTTTTTATAAAAGAATTATATACACAATTAACCATAATAGAACATTTATTTTATATTGTACTATTTCCCAATATTACAGTTTCACTGCATCTTTGATGCAGCCTTGGTGATGAGACTACTTTAAAAAACATTTTCAAGAAATTACCGACCGTTTAAAAAAAAAATCTTTTCAACAGTAAAATAATGTAGACATTGGGCCTCATTTACGAAACGAACATTCGACAGAAAATTGGGCATACGGTCGTTTCAACGCAAAACTTTTTTTATCAATTTATCAAAATTTTATTTTTCTGACCATCAAACGAAGCTCATTAGTCGAACGTTAACCAGTAAGATTAGAAGGGGGGGGGGGGGGGGGGTCTCCTTTTGTTTTT